TAATATTAGGAGAATGAAGTCATCATAACACAGAAAGAAAGCTTGGACCAGCTCCACCAATCAGCAACCAGAGTCCACTTTGACCTCCTGCCCAGTTTGATGCTGCTGCTAAAAGATTTCCTGATTAGTCAAACTGATGCTAAAGTATAACTTCACATGATGCTCCACATTCCTCATTTTAGGGAAGAAAGGGCTTCTTGGAAGAATTCTCCTAAAATACAACTTTATTCTCGTAATTTTCTGACTTTATTCTCATTATGTTACAACTTTATTCTGGTAATTTTATGACTATTCACTTTGTGACTTTATTCTCGCAATTTTTTTGACTTTATTCTCAGAAATTTCTGACTTTACTCCCATAATTTTTTAACTATTCTCTTTCCGAATTTATGCTCAATATTTTTTAACTATTATCTTTGTGACTTTGTTCTCTTAATTTTCTGACTTTATTCTCGTAATTTCCTGATTTTATTCTCGCAATGTTACGACTTTATTCTCGTCATTTTCTTACTTTATTCTCGTAATTTTTTAACTATTATCTTTGTGACTTTGTTCTCTTAATTTTCTGACTTTATTCTGTTACAACTTTATACTCGGAATTTTATGACTTTATTCTCGTAATGTTACTACTTTATTCTTATGATTTTATGACTATTCACATTGTGACTTTATTCTCGTAATGTTACGACATAATTCTCGCAATGTTGCGACTTTATTCTCGTAATTTTCTGACTTTATTCTCATAATTTTCTGACTTTATTCTCATAATTTTCTGACTATTCTCTTTGTGACTTTATTCTCCAAACTTTACGACATTTTATTCTCCTAACTTTACGACATTTTATTCTTCTAACTTTACGACATTTTATTCTCTTAATTTTCTGACTTTATTCTCTTCTAACTTTACGACATTTTATTCTCTTAATTTTCTGACTATTCTCTTTGTGACTTTATTCTCCTAACTTTACGACATTTTATTCTCCTAACTTTACGACATTTTATTCTCCTAATTTTGTGACTTTATTTTCCTAATTTTCTGACTTTATTCTCGTAATGTTGCAACTTTATTCTTGTAATTTTCTGACTTTATTCTTGTAATTTTCTGACTATTCTCGGTGACTTTATTCTCCTAACTTTATGACATTTTATTCTCCTAATTTTATGACTATTCTCGTAATGTTACGACACGAAATAGAAAGAAAAATCTGTAGCCTGGCCCTAACACTCCGTCGTAATCTGGGAACATTTGAAAAATAATGATAGATGTTTTCCAGCTGCCGGATGAAGGCTGCTTCCCTGATCTCCTACAACCCTGTGAAAACTTATTGGGGAAGACAACATGTTATTGAACAGACCTGCAGACAACGGAGTCCTGCACAGCACCAACTGCAGGGTTACTGATCATCATGCCACTATAACAGCACAGAGAATTCACCAATACTGATATGACCCGATACGATATCAGAAGGAATCATACATGCTTTTATTACCTATTTTGTATTGTAGAATTTTAGAAAATGTTTGATCAAGTGTAAGTTACTGAAAGAGAGAAAAAACATCAACAATAAGGTATGAGAATCCATGTAATATTGACCAATGGGTTACAGAAACTTAAGCAGAAGCAGAGTTTCTATCAGTCTGACAGTATTGAAAGTTTTAGATGCAGGCAGATATACTCCTATAATAGTTTCTTGGCCAATCAGACCGATATTCGATATTATTATAAGTCCGATATAAATAATCGGACTGGGCTAATAAATACATTTGAATTAAATGATTCAGTACTGAATTCACTTCATTGTGTTTTCTGTGGCAACAAAAGATTTTTTAATTTTCAACCCAGGTGACGAGGCACCATTTTCTCACCTCTGTGAGGAGAACGGCTCAGCGGCAGAACATAAAGGACAAACGTTAAAGGAAAGGCTTCTTCTTCCAGAGGTGGGAAAAAGCAATCAGCCCCCCAGCGGTCGGCCACTTACTTTCCACCCTCCCCCAGAAGAAAACCAACACATACATTGTCTGTTCCCTGAAAGTAACTACCACTGTATTTCACTGCTTTTACAAAATGGAAAATCAAAAATGCCAACAACAAAAAAAAGTAGGCAAAGATTTTCTAAAAGAACTGGACAGATGAAAACAAAGATTAATTAAGAACTATCACCCCCGTAAATAAATAACACTATTCAAGACTTACTTTAGAGTTTTGATTTGTTCCAGCTTGTTGGTTTTCGGGGAGCCTTTCCCCAATAAAAGCTTCTCTGTTATTTTCTCCATGGCTCTCCTGCAGGATAAGTAGATTTTAGAAACCAAAAATCAGCTGCTTTGAAATTAATAAGCATCAAATTTACAAATAATTCCTGCATGAACATTCATATTCCTTCATTTTTTCTCCTACCATATCCTTCTCTTCATTGGCTTCCTGTTAAATCCAGAAT